CTATTTATATCAAAAATTAATTTCCATGATTTCATTATTATTAACTGTATGTTTGCACATTATTATTATTATTATTGTCAAAATGCACTTTGTTTGTTGTTTACTTTATTTTAATAATTTAAGATGGTGCTGATTGTAAAATTTGTTTGATTGTGTTCATAATCCCACCTATCTATTCAATCGTAAAGCATTAAGTATTCCATAATAAATACAAACATTAATCATATTAAGCAAATATAATTTAATTTCATGTTATATATTTCTCATACGTATGTAGGTAGCGCTAAGGCCTTTATATGCGATCAATTCTTCCGAAAGCGGTGCAAAATAATTTTTATGTTATGAAATAATATGTTTATACTATACAGATTTTTAATATCATGTTATAGACACTTATAATGATGCATGTGCATATTATCTTTACATCTTATTTTGATATGGATATCTTCTTTCATGTTCTTCCTTTGAATAAAAGTGGGCTTCCATCGTGAAGATCATTGTGATTTCAGGACTTTTGCTTTTTATTTCTTATATAAAGATGATATTTGTTATTTGATTTTATAATTGCAAAAGCGAGGAGAATATGTTGTTTATTTTTTACCATCATGAATTATTTGAGAGTAGAAAGTATTTGTTATGACACTAAAAACTATAGTAAAAATTCTCTCTTTTGCAGTGACAATACATATACATTTGTACATACTATTAAATCACTTACATACTTAATATTCAACTACATGTTATTAAATTTGTATCTTGCTAATTTTCATTCATACAATTTAATTTCGTTTTTACTAAGTTATATCATTAATACCGTGTAATTTTTTCAATGTATTTTACTGTAAACGTATATACATAAGCACGCAATGCAAACGCGATGTATTTTTCTATCTGCATTAACTAGCGATAGATATAAGTTTGGTCAAGTTGTTAATAATTTTTAAAATGTGTATCATTTACTTTTATGATATACGCATTGCCTATGATGTAAAAATAAATAGTAAATAATATCTTAAATTGTATCATAAAATATCTTGACATGTTTGATAAGTATATGATAATAAATTCCAGAAGAGTAATGTATTATCTTGTTCATGCAAAAGATATTCTAAAGATTTATTTCTCTACATAAACTATTATTAACTGTTAACGTGAATTTTCGCCCTATTATAAAGGACAATTAATTATGTTTATCTCCAGACAATTTGAAAAATTAAGAACAGAATACGCCGACGCAATAGTATCGATTATTAGTGTGCGTAATAATTTCACAATGGTGCTAAATTAGGGATGGCAAAAAGCGAGAAAATACATCGATGCATCAATATAATTGCCAAACAGACAGCTAGTCATAAATACATAGGTACATCGGTAGTAAACATCGATATTTGAAGGGAAGGTCAATGAATTCCACTTAAATTTTCATTTTCAGTTTATTCCATATATTTTTTATCTGAATATTTTAAATAGGAGCGAAGATACGTTGATTTGAATATTTCAATGGCTAAACTTTAATTTAAGGAACCAAAAATTATTGACTAAACAGTCATCACATTTTAAATATGACCTCATTGATAATCTTCAATTGTTTTCACATTGGCTTGAATATCTATCTATAACGTTTATGTAAATTGAAATAAGTCACGAAATTGATAAATCTGAAGTTGTCGATATAAGTCACAGATATCATAAAAAATAATCGATACTTTCTGGATCTCCAAAAATCGATGGTAGAAACGTCGATATATCGACAGGAAATATCAATATATTGTTGCTATTCCTAACGCTAGCCGGTTACAAATTCACGTGAAATAATTTAGGTTAAACAACGAATCCGTGAAAGTGTGAAATATTTTGTTATATATTTTGAATTAATTTTTATGTATACAATATTATTAAAGTAAGAGTAATCGGAAAATTAGAAGATGGAAATGAAAATACCTTACAAGGTAAGTATTTATAAAAATAAAAGAATGTTTCATGATATTTATATAACCTTAAATATTCATATGTATAAAGTGCGTAATAGAAACCTTGTTTACTTTAGGCGAATATAAATGATTTTTTAAATCATTCTAATAATTCAACATTTGAAAGTGTTCACACTTCTCAAAGTGAGGACGAAGACTATGAAGTTGAAGAAAGTGATGAAAATGAAGAAATGGAAGAAGTTGAAAGAGATTTTCAGTTAACATCTGATAAAAAAAGGAGAAAAATTACTGTTGATTTCATAGATACAGCACCAAAAAAGAAAAAAAAATTGAACAAAGATTTATATAAACCACCAACTGTTGAAGAACTAAATCAATTGAGGGAAACAGAAAATTTATTTCATTCCAACTTATTTAGATTACAAATAGAAGAAATGTTAAATGAAGTCAGAATTAAAGATAAATATAAACGTTTGTTTGATGCTTGGTATAAAAGTTTTGAGAAAACCATAGAATCCATTCCACAAACAGAACAGTATGAAGTATGTAATTTTATTTAATCAGAGTGTCAAAAATTAACATAAACAATTTTTGTTTTACCTTATGATTATAGCTTTCAGATGAGAAGTTAAAAGAAGGGTTAAATGTGAATATTCCAATGCCTAATGTACCAAAAGGAACAAAGGGTGTATTTAAATTCTTGAAACCATCATATGTGGCTATTATAGGATCTTATGTATATGATACTGCAATTAGCCCAAATATTACGGTAGATGTAATGATAGAAATGCCTGCTAAAATGTTTCAAAATCAAGATCACAAAAATTATAGATACATGAAAAAGAAAGCAATATATTTAGCATATATAGCATCCAATATTACTGATGATATTGCTGAGCATAAAAAATTCATAGGTGATAATTTAAGGCCAGTTTTAAAAATTGTACCAACTGGACAGTTGGGTACCAAAATTAATGTATTGGTACACTTATCAGTCCAACAAGAAAGTTTTAAATTGAACAAATTTCTACCTGAAAAGAATAATATTAACCCTGGATGGTTTTTCAAAAAAACAAAAGATGGTATGTGTCTGTTATTGTTCATTTTTAGTTCATATAATTATATTTGTTTTGTATATATATTTACAGACGATTCGCCAGCAACACCACATTATAATTCTATAATTCTTCATGATTTAATTATGAGAAAACATTCAGAAGATATGAAAGTAATTAAAGAGTACCCAAACTTGAGAGATGGTATTATATTACTAAAAATATGGTTAGGTCAACGTGAATTAATAAAAGGTCATGCAACTTTTAATGGGTACACCATAACAATGTTTATTTTATACTTATTATCTATAAAAACATTAAATACATTTATGAGCAGTTATCAAGTAGTCAGAAATGTATGGAGTTATTTAGGTATGTTACGTTCTGCAGATATACACAGTGAAAGAATTTGACATTTTTATAATTATCAATAATTAATATTATTTCTTTTACCAGTACAAGTTGATTGGTGTGAAACTGGAGTAACAATGAATCCAGATAATAATAGTGAAAAAAGGATTTTAAGCTATCATAATTATTATGATTGCATATTTTTGGATAGCACTGGTTATTATAATATTACTGCATTTGTATCTAAAGCTACTTATAAATGGATACAAAAGGAAGCGGAACTTTCTTTGAATCTCTTGGATAGTGCACATGCAGACAGTTTTCAATCACTTTTTATGAAAAAAATATCATTTTATGTAGCATTTGATCATTTGATATGGTAATTATTTTTGAAATCTATCAAACACAAATTGATTAATTGAACAGTAAAGTTAAAAATATATACAGGTTTAAGAATATCGAGGGCTTAAAACAAATGGTAGATACTAAGTCAAGTAGCAAGGATAAATTAGATTATGGTCCTAATTATCAGGCCCAAGCAATAAAAATTCTTTATAATATTTTAAATAAGGGTTTAACAAATAGAGTTCACCAAATTTGTGTTTTACCGAATGACGTTATGGAATGGGAATGTACAGAGGATAACTGCAATAATATTGGGAACATTATGATTGGACTAGAATTAAATCCCAAGTTCTGTTATAGTATGGTTGATAAAGGACCAGAAGCAAATTTACCAGAAGTATGTAAAGTGTTTACATATATTAGAGATAATTAGGGGTATGCGGGCCGTCCAATGTGTCGGGTACTTGACCCGACATTTTCGGACACGACCCGAGACCGACATATCGGGTATTCGCACACGCCTAGAGAATATTAATTTTTTTTGACGTTACAAATAATGTGTGTGTGTGTGTGTGTTTATATTTATATTTGCATTTATATTGTAGGCAATTGAATTTAGAAATTTCTGGGGTAAGCGTTCAAATTTACGACGATTTCAAGATGGATCTATTCGAGAAGCAGTAGTTTGGTCAGATGGCAAGACAGTAGCAGGAAAAAGAAAAACAGTTAAAAAGATAGTAAAATTTGTATTAAAAGAAAAATTAGGTCACCGTGTGTTTCGATCTTTCTATGTTGCTGATGAAATGGAAAATTTGTTAAGACGGCAGAAGGTAATGATTTTTATGGGTCTTTATATGTATTCAAATAAATAAATTTTTTGTAATCTGTAGGTCGTATTAATGGGCGTTACTTATGGAACGGGAGAAGAAGCCGCACGAAAGGTGTTAAACGTATTTGATACGCTTGAAAAAGATTTAATGTCTCTTTCAGATATTCCTTTATCGATACATGGAGTTCAAGGATCTAGTGCAGTTTTTCGATATACAGATGTTTTTCCACCACTTGCGACACATCTAGTGCGTAGTAGACAGATATACAAAAGCGACGATATTAACAGCGACGATATTAGCAGCGACGATATTAGCAGCGACGATATTTGTTTAAAATTACAACAATCTTTACCTAAGGCTCCTAAATATTATCCTCCGCTTGAAGTAAGTTTGCAATTATCAACTAGTGGAAAGTGGCCAGATGAGTTGGAAGCTTTTAGAAAAACCAAAGCCGCTTTTCACTTACAAATTGCAGAATGCCTTAGAAAGCAATGCAAGATAAAAGCGCATGCAAATGATTCGTACATAGATGTATATAAGGTTATTATTTTTGAATAATATTTATATTACGATAAAAACAGGTGCTAAATGTAGGTAATTTGTAAAAAAATACTAATTTTTTCTCAGGATGGATTTACGTTTCGGTTAAGAGTAGCGCATCAAAAAGAAATTGGTTACTTGAAACAGCAAGTAAGTGAGGATGGAGTTATAAAATACAAAGATAACGATGAATCAATTGAATTGGAAAATAAATTATTCGAACTACCGAAATTAACTAGTGCTTTACGCGGGTAGGAATAATGTGTTTACAAAACTTAATATATATCAAGTATATTAATATAAGATTAAAACTATTATTGTATCTTTCACATGGTAGATTGCATAGTCAACAACCATCGTTTGGACCTGCTTGTGCTTTAACAAAACGTTGGTTGTCTGCTCAATTATTGGACGATTCTCACATACCAGATATAGTAGTCGAATTACTTATGGCTTCAATGTATTTAACACCTTCTGCATATAGACCTACCTCCACCCCTCAAGTAGCATTCTTGAGACTCTTAGAAACTTTTGCTAGAGGTCACTGGTATACAGATCCTGTTATTGTAAATTTCAACAGTGAAATGTCTAGTAAGTATTTCCATTAGTATTGAAAATTTTTGCATCTTTTACTCATAATGTATTGTTCAATTCTAGGAAAAGAAATATTAGATGTCGAAACGCTTTTTGGAACAGCTCGCGATTCTTTGCCGCCATTATTTATTTCTACTCCTTATGATCAACAAAGATCATTGTGGACTAGGAAAGCGCCATCACTTTTAATTTTAAATCGTATTACAGCATTGGCTAAAGTATTCTTACAATTATACGAAGAGCACCGTTTTGCAAGAACTTCATTAATGATCAAGTTTTTATTTAAACCACCACTCACAGAATATGATTGTGTAATATATTTAAACCCGCGGATGGTTCCTAGAATAACAGAGGCAGTTGAATCTCCTGCAACACTTGTTGAGAAATGGCACCCGTATAGAAAAGAACAACATGAGAGGATACCAGCTGTAGGTTTTGACCCTGTGCAGTATCTCTTAAGAGATCTTAGGGTAAGTTTTGGACGATGTTACAATCTTTATTACTATATCAATATTTTTACGATTTTCCGGTATATCCATGTTTGTTTTTAGGATGGTTATGGCGAATTTGCCTTATTTTTCCATGATACATATGGCGGTACAGTAATTGGAGTTTTGCTAAAACCATCTGCATTAGACCCTAAGGATTTTAAAGTGTCAAATATGTATGGAAGAAAATATATTAATGGCAAATTAATTTTAAATTTTTCGGCAATGATTCAGGATTTTTCTGCTCTTGGAAAAGGTATCATAGAAAAAATAGACGTCCGAACAAAACTATTTTCTTAAACACATTCTTCACGATAAATTGTAAAATAAATAATTTTGTATTCATTGTTTTACTAATACCGATCAATTAAGTAGGTATGTGATTAAATAAACACTTCTTTAAACAAAATATATTTATTTCAATGAATGTGTGTGTGTGTGTGCGGGCGCGCGCGTGTGTACATTTACAAAAAGTACTCTGCAGTATTATGTAAAAAATTACTTCATCATTAAAGATCTAATTTCATTATTTAATTTCATAATAACCATATCATCCATCATATAGCTTCCTGTTTTTAAAAGAGAGTCACGTTCTTCAAGTAATGCTTGCAATCGTTCATTATGTGCTTCTGACCTTTTGAATGCACTTTTATTGGTATGTTGTGAAATTGTGGGACCTATAGAACTTGGTGTAAAAGCTTGACAGTAAGCACTTTTTTCCAAAAAAGATGTTTTTGGTTTAATCACATCGATTTCTTTTTGAATTTCACTTAATAATATTTGGTCATTTGTCAAAGCAGTAGAGTCTGCACATAGTATCTCCTCCAAGCTATGTAAAAGAAACAATAAACATAAGATACATTCTTAAATAAGTTACTTTTTAATATACGATACCTCTAAATTAAACATACTCTAAATTTTGTAATTCTTCTTTACTATTTTTTATTTGAACTTGTACAGCTTGTTGATGTTCCATTTTCATGCGATGTATTTCACGAACTGCATTTCTCCATTGTTCTTTGAAAAATGATTTATTTTCTTGAGCATTTTGTAATTTTTCTTCAAGCGTTTTTAATTCTTGTAACAAATTTGCTGTTTGGTCTTGAGTTAAAGAGCCCTTTTGATAAGTTTCTATTTCTTCAGACTGTTTTGTTACAAGTAATTGTAATCTTTCATTTTCAGTACTTAATTGTTCAACTTGTGCTTCTAAAGATATTTTCCTCTTTTCAAGAGCACTAATCTATAAGATATTAAAAATATAGAATTTAACGCATACCATAAGGAGTAAATACTTTTACCGACCTTCGACATAAGTTCTTCTTGCATTGTTTGAAGTGTTTGTTTAAGATCTCGCAGTTTTGTTTCATATCTCCATTGTAAATCTTCATTTGCTTTAATTAGTCTAGTTTCTTTCTCGAGACTTTTCAATCTTCGCGTTCTTAAATCTTCCGTAGCGTTATTTAAACTATTTGCTAACATTTTACATTGCTCAACACTACAGGCAAGTTTTGTTTCTAAACTTTCTCTTTGTTTTTGCCATTCTTGACTTAATAAATTTAAATGACGATCCTCCTTTCTTTTCAGCTGAATTGTTGAGAAAAGTTATAAGCAACACATGTAAAGTAATTATATTTTTATTCTCTTTGCGTTCATATATATTTTACCTCAATTTTGAATATTTCTATTTGTCGTTCTTTCCAAGTTTCTAGTTCATCAACTATTTTATATGCTAAACTATCATCTAAAATTGGTGGACCTAAATTTTCGCCTAGTTTAAAAGTACGTATTTTTTGTAATCTTTTCTCATGTATATTAAAAAAGAAAACAATTAAAAGTACAGTAAGAACTCACTAAGTGTTGTCCTTTTTATTCTATAGTATGGACCGTGATCATCTAAACTTAACACAATATCTAAGCTACCAATATTATTTTGTTCCATATCATATAAAGGTATATTATATTGGTATTCAGCCTGAGACTATTTATTGAACTTTAATAAGTTTATGTAGGTGTTACATAACATTTTTAAATATATTATACTACCTTATTTTGAAGGAAGAATTCCTTTGTATTAATTATACTTTTAGATATACAAGTTTTAGCATTTCCTTCCACTTTATATATACTAATTTTTGGTGGAAAGGTCAACAGTAGTTGTTTGATTTCATCCATTGCTGATATAAATTGTAATTTGCATCCAATGTCATGTAATTTTATTTTTTCTCCTAATGGAAGCTGTATTTTTGGATAAAATATTGATATATTTTCAGTTTTTGGATGATGGAATCTAAATTTAAGTATAGATGCATATTTACTTCATATCTAACGTAAAGAAATGAATTGTAATTAATAAATTAGTAAATACCGAATTTCCAAGCATGGCACTGTTAATTTTGTAGATATTGACTTGATTGATATAAGTGAGATATTTAAACAATAACAGTGATAAGTTTCTACACATTCAACATTATCATTAATACTAGATTGGCATAATAGTGTATCAACTGAATGTGAACACACAGTTTTTACTGGTTGGTCTTTTATAGCACCACAACTTAAAGTGTGTTTTATATTATTACATCCATTTGGATAACAGAAAATTTGAGCACCACCAATATATTTTCCAAAATCACCAGCAGGATTTCTGTGATAGTCTATTTCACTACAATTCTGGAAAGTATAGTTAAACCAGAATGAAAATTATTGTTAATATTATAATTTTATCATTCATTACACAAAAGCTTACTGTTTGTTTTAAGTTATCTTTTAATTCTTTGGTAGAATTAGTAGTAACTAAATTATTAATCATTATATTAGGAGTATTCATTGTTTCATCTATTTTACCTCCTACATATTGCAACTTTAATTGCAAATCAAGGTATGAATGTGTACATTCTACTTGGTCATTTTCAAGGGAATTCTTTTTATATAAATAACATCTTTGATTTAAAGTACTGCTATTGTTTTCAGTCATTTTAAGGAATTCTTCAATGTTATCAGTAGATATTAATGGTTGCAAATTTAGTTCTGATTGACAAATACTCTTTGAAAATTTTTAGCGAACTTCTAATTCTTATTACAATTTTTTCATTGAGTATCCAAAGTTGTCCAGATTCTTTTTTAGATTGATTAAAATACACGTCATTCTCTAATATTTTACACCAAAAATATAAATTATTTTTAATGTCCATACAATATAATTCTGTTGTCAATAGTGAATCTACATTTGTTGCGGATACAGCTGTGATACTCATCAAAAATAACTCATGACAAATATCTAATGGACCCAACTGTATAAGACGTTCATCACGAAGCAAAACTGGAGTTACCTTATTGAATTGAGAGTTTGTTTGTTGATATTCTTCCAAATTCTTTAACTATAGTTACATAAAGGAATACAATTTTTAAAAACATTTATATTAATTTGACACATTGATAAAGATTCATTTATGGATAATAAATTGTTTACCTCTAACTGAGAATTTACAGTTGTAGCTTCTTGATCGTGAATACTCAAAGCAAGAAGTAATTCAGGTTTATCTACTTTTAGTTCACTTTTCAATCCTAATACTTTGAGCCAATTAGCTCTTACAGTATTAATTCCATGTTTATTAAAAACTTGCGCAGACCTTAGACTAAGTAGGAGATATCCAAGTTTTTCTTTGCTATCATTGCCTTTAACAGCAAAACATTCCAATTTTAATGGAACTTGCCCTGATCTCATTCTATAAAGATAAAATTGTCATTTAAAAATAAATTTCATCTTGTAATAACCATTATATACGATACATACTTTCGTAGTCTACTCTTATCCACTTCCCAAACCAAATCATGATCATACTGAGGATTTGGACTTGATTCTATAATTTCAGTTTCCAAGGAATGTCCATTTAATGTTGCAACAACTAACGTAGGCAATAGAATTTTCTCAAAACCTTTGCCTAAAATTATTACACATTAATAATGTTTCAGAATTTTTTAAAACAACAGTTTGACTTCATTATGTAATTACTCAAATTAAAACAAAGATAGAATTCAGAAGTATTTATATTTATTTATATTTAAAAAGATATCATATGTGATACATTCAAAAGCTGTACAATTTCATTTGTTACAAACTATTTTTGTGCAGTAAACATAATAAAACATACTTATTTATTACACTTTCGTTATTATTTATCATCTACCACCTTCAAAAACAGATAATATAAATAAAAGGTTAATAAGTAACGAATTATAAAATTTACCTTCTTTTATATTTAGTACAACTCGAGATGTATCAGAGTTCGTTAATTCTTCCATTGTACCGTAGTATAATACACAAAAATAATTAAATATAAAATTCTTCAAATATTTAATACATATTAAAGAAATGCGTAAAATTCAAATCGGTTACTATGGATACACAGGTACCTAATGTCATAACATCTTTATTTAAAACGTTATGAATTAATTGTATCATAGAAAGGGTATACAAAGAACATAAGATCAATAGAAACATATAATTGGTAAACTTAATCTACATCACAGTTCTTACAGGTACGACATTACGTTTATTCAACCTCTTTAGATTCTGTTCGAAAATTCAAATCAACGCCATATTTTTTGTCATAGAATAGATGCCCATAGATAATTAACTGTATGCGATAATTTGGTAACAAATTTTACCATTCATTAAGAAAAATTCATTTCTAAGTTATCCGATCAGAACTGTAAGAATATATGGATAATTTTAGAAGATAGCATTCTCTGAGAAAAATGTTCGAAGATGTGAATAAAAATTGGAAATTTGATCAAGAAACATAGAAACAGACTGTTTTACAAGAGCGAGGGCGTCAGTGTCGACCAAGTGTTGGAAACGCCGCCTTAATTCGTCATAAGTTGGCAGCACTGTCGGCCTCGTAACAAATCTCACCCATGTCGAGTCGAGCGCGAGAGACAGGAGCGTAAGCTTATCCGCGATCGTTTGTCCGCGTTCGACGGCTCTTTCAAAATAGCGTGCGTGCTATCGAAGTGGACGGTGCAACCAGGGATAACCCGTATCCGTATTACAACTGTATCCCGAGAGAAAAAATTTCGAAAGCTCTAGAAAGGACAGACCGTCGAGGGACTATAGTTAATCCGAGCTTGTGTGTGGGCATACAATAGCCGATCGGGCATACTGGTGACACGACTGCGGATTTTCCTTTAGACACAAGAGAAAGAACATACGAAGCTCGCAAAGTGCATGTGCTTGTGTGCGTGTCACTGGAAAGAGTTCAGAGCCGCTACGGCGGCGCTCCGAAATCTAACCGCAGAATCGAGTGCTGCGGCGGTGAGCCGCGGTCTGTCGGAGCACGATTGTTGAGTGTACGATCACGATCCCACGCGGCGGGGCCCTGTTTGTAATGGAGGAGGTATCCGAGTGTATTCCCGTGCGGGAGAACAGTCACGGCGATGCACGCCGTATTGACTGAGACGCGATATTTATCCTTGACTATTCCTCCCGGCCGGCCGGGCGAGAAAGGCAGGTCGAAATTGGCATGGAATCGTCCAGGGTCCACGACACGACGAACACTCCTCGCTCCCGTCTGTGATAACCATTAGCCGCTCTTAGAAGGAGATAGAGAAGAGAAGGGAAAACTGAGAGAAATAGAGAGAGAGAAAGAAAAATAATAGCCGTGTGTGTTTCGCGCGTGTTCCTCATCTGCCCTCTTCGTCCACATCTTTTAAGTGTAAACAAAAATTTTGCTGAAATCCTCTGCGAGGTTAGGATATGGCATGGGGATTGATCCCCTGAAGGCATCGACCGACGAACCGTGACACCTGCGACTCGACGTCTACGGTGTGTGTGCGTGTGTGTGTGTGTGTGTGTGTGTGTGTGGCTGCGTGCGTGGTTGCGTGAGTGCGTGTGCGTGTGTATCCTCCCAGGAAGCCGCTGGAGTATTATTTCCATCAGCGGTCGTCCAAGGGAAGACCAAAGAAGAAAATATGTCAAGAATGGGGATCGATCCCCGATACGACAACATCGTGCAATCTCTGCTACACGATTAATTTCGGTACCCGGACTGACATCGGGTATATTATACACCGTTCAATCGAGCGATTTCTGTCACGTTAAAACAGACTGTCGGCGGTTATTCTGCCCACGACAGAGGACACTGGCACCATGCAGAAAAGAGAGTTCAGAGATACACGCGAGAAGGAGCTCGTGAGGAGCTCCGAACGCGACCAGGAAGCGACCAAGAGGATCTCCCGTGGTAGCGGTAACGCTGCCAGAACCAATGTGCATTCCTCCAGGTATAGTGTCACCTCCTCCTCTAATGTGCTCATGGTCGGTCCGAATTTCCGTGTCGGCAAGAAGATTGGCTCTGGCAACTTCGGGGAACTTCGACTCGGTAAGTCGATTGTCTTTTTTTCTTTATTTCATCACTATCTTTTTCTGTTTCTCGTTACTTTCTCATACCGTGTTCCACACACGCGGCGTTCACTTTATTTACTCGGTTAGATTTTCTCATTGAAATGTGTGTCGAAATGAAACGAAACGAAACTATCGTGTATTGTGTCATTTGTAAAATAGAATTTTCGTGGTCGTGTTTAAAAACATGTTCGGTTTATATACTGAGCGCGCGTGAAAGTGGCTTTCTTCAATGGTGTACCGAACAAAATGGAGCCACCACGTAAAGGAACATAGGCGATCGTGTGGTTGCTGCTGCTGGCTAGCCCGCTCGTACAGCCAGGGAAACCCTTCGTAACCTTTTTTTCGGAACGGTCGCGTTGCGGCGACTAGCGGAACCTTGAAGTGAAATTTCACTTCGATCGATCTTAATGGAATCCGTTTCAGCTGATCTGAAGCTCGCGAGATCCGTTCGGTATTCGCCGATGTGTTATTACGGCGCGGTATTACCATATTTTATTTCATCTCCAGCGAATTTACATGTATTACGAAATATAGAAAGAAATCAACGATTATACACGAGCACCACCGTGTAGTAAATTAAGAACGGTGACGTTAGGATTTCAGCGTCTCGAATGCATCGGTTATCGTCGAAGTCCGTGCTTACGTGTGACGTAATTCTGCCACGATGAATTTATATCTTTTATCTATGCTAAGAGGGAGTGCACCGAATATAGAGATGTTTATGTCCGTGGTGACCTCCATCGACGATTGTTATTACCATCACGCCTTCCGCAAAACTGTTCGACTTTAATACGCGAACAATTAAACCAACTGTATATCTAACAAAAATTCTTAAGAAACCCTTTCATTATCGAATACTTGGTATAAAATAAAATAGATAATAAAACTGGAAGAAATGATCGTCGCGTCGACGCTCCACGTTTGTCGTTCATTCCACGTGACTCGAGGTTAAATAAGCTCCCTCGATAAACGCTCAGTTTTACCAGGTACGAATGTTTTATGTATAAGCGCCAACTGTGCATCGTCGAAGCCTCGCGCTAGTACGGGCAACAACTTGCGTAAACTTTTTACTCGTTATCTCTTGCTCCGTTTGCGTTTTAGCTCTCTCTATACTCTCTTCGGTTTGCTGCATCGCGTTATAAACGTAAGGGAATATCCGTGTGATTTATACGGAGATTCACGAGTCCTCTCTGTTTCACAAACCGAACCAATCTAACGCTTTAACGTCGTTTAATGTAAACGTTTGCACGAATTATTAAACCGTTCCACGGAATTCTACCTTACCAATCGAATATCCATCTAACTAAGGGAAACACTCTACGGCTATAGAGTGGTACATGGCACAAAGGTTCGTGTCCTCAAAGAGAAGCGAGTTAGGTAAGCCTTCTCTCTAAGCTTCTGTGGAAGCTATAACTATCGAAGCCTCGGGGATCGAGTGTTGAAATCTTGCACGATCGCCACGAACCAGTCTACGGAACGGCCGATTCATCATACGAAAGTTCTACCGTGCTTTTTCGATATCTATAAATTCCTCGATGGTTAGAAGGCGGCGGAGGTGGGGGGTTAGTAGTTCCAGGTCGATAACGATGACCCTCCTTACCGTTGCACTTTTACACGTTAGCCTCGCGTAGCTAAGCTAGATGGATGGTTTGTTCCTCTTTTCAATTTCATTTAACGCGAACTATTGGACGATTTTTAACGGTTGCGTGTATGAAACACGAGACTGACTAGAAGAAGCAGCTTTTTTTTCTTTTTTTTTTTTTTCGAAAGAACGTGAGTTTACTTTAGTTGGAAGCCTTATAGACGACGGTATGAAACTGTGTAAATATTACAAAAGAATCGAGAGAGTGTGTGTGTGTGTGTGTGTGTATGTGTTACTGATCACGCTACAACGACGAAGCTTCAAAGGGAGAGAGAGTGAGGGGGGGTATTTGACGTCGAGGGGAGCGCATAAATAAGGAGGAAGGCTGTTTTCCCTGTTGTCTTTCGGAAATCGGTCACAGCGCCGCGACAAATATAGATTGTTTTCACGGTGCGTTAGGTTATACGCGTGTACGTGTTATCAGTTGAATTACTGCACGGCTGCAAGTGCTCTCTCCCTCGTGGCTCTGCCTCTTATCGTTCTATCGTCGCGCTGATATACATATTTCGGTATTAAAATTCCGATCTTCAACCTTTTCGCCCAGTTCTTCCTGTTCCATTCCCGAGCGTGCAATCTGTATCGATGTTTCTCTCTGTCGATGGTAGGGGGACATTTTGAAATCGCGAATCTACGAGATAGGAGCAGGGATGTAACGATGTTGTTGTCGAGTGAATTTTTCGTTGTTGTAAGCGGAAAAAAGGAAAGAGAAATAGAAGGTGGGGTTTGACGTGAATCCGTTACGCGGTGTAATTCAACCACCTTGGAGTATATAATCGCGTGAAATGCTCGGAAGTCTGCTGATCGAGAGACGTCGCAGGAATGTTCTCAGCAAACGTTCCTCTCTTTTGTGAACGGAACGAATTAGCGGAATTGGACCGTTCGAGGATATCGGTTTTTTTTTTCTACTAGGCGTAAAAAGGGCGAATTCATACGAGAAAATAATTGGAAAATGTAGCGTAATATTTTGTCATAAGTAGCTTAATTTTTGAAAAAATTCTGATATTCAACTTTTTTCAGTTGGTTCAATTATTTTGTGTAATCTGCATCGATCTTTCTTCGCGGGAAAAAAAAACTGAAATCAGAGAATATACGAGGCATTCAGAAGTCAAAATGATTAACTCGACTTTTTCAAATTCTTCTAATTTTAGCATCGAAGCACCGTGTACGGTGCTTAAGTCTTTATAAATAAAAAAAATGTATTAAATTTAATTTGACGGAGTTAGTCACTTTGGTTTTCGAGTGGTTCATATCTTCTTCGCC